AACCCAGATGCTTCTCAGTGGTATTGGATTTCTCTGAACAGAGGGAACGAGATCATTGAAACTACAAACAGATTGTATTTAGTGATTTAGTTCCTAAAAGTGGAAGTGGGAAATGGGTGTGGTAGCACTTGCCTAYAATATCAGCAACTTGGGAGGCTGAGGCAGGAGGATTGCAAGTTCAATGCCAGTCTTGGCAACTTAGTGAGACCCTCARCAACTTGGTGAGACCCTGTCTCAAAATAAAAATTAAAAAGGACTAGGGATGTAGCTCAGTGGTAAATCATCTCTGGGTCCATTCCCCAGTAACTGCTCCCCGCCCAAAGAAAAAACAGTGAAAATGAGGAATTTTTGTAGGCTGTTAAACTATTTAAGATTTGACCTTTTCTATCAATTACACATWTTGGTCTCTTTGGGTGACAGTTGAAAAGATTGATTGAAAAATCAATGACAAGGGCTGGGGTTACAGCTCAGTGGTAGCAACTTGCCTCGCACATGTAAGACACTGGGTTCCATCCTTAGCACCACATAAAAAAAAAAACTAATAATAAATAAATGAAGTAAAGAAAATATTGTGTCTATCTTTAAACAAATTAAAAAAAAAAGAAGAAAAAAGAAAAGAAAAATCAACGACAAGGGTTGCTTCCATAGTAGGGATGGGTAGCTTATGCAGTCAAGTAGGGTAGGATGTCAGAAGATCCATCTTTCATGTGCATTTTTGTATTATTTGAATCTTGCTACAATATGAATTTATTATTTACTCAGAAACAAACAAAAATTTCCAGATGTGGTAGATAAGACCTGTAATCCCAGTGACTTGGGAAACTGAGGCAAGAACATCACAAATTTGGGATCAGCCTAAGCAATTTAGCAAGACCCTATCTCAAAATTAAAAGTGAAAGRACTGGGAATGCAGATCAGTAGTGAAGCACTCCTGGGTTCAATGCYCAGCACCCATCCCCCAAAATAAAAGAAATGTATTGCACCAGGTTTATGGGCTCCTTCATGCTCAAAAAGCATTTACTCAATAAAATTAACACAAGACTGTCCTGTTGATTGTGTCTTTGGCATTTAGATCTACTTGAAAATTCCTGATAAGTACAGAAATGGTTTTCCTTGATAAGTACAGAAATGGTTTTCCTTGTATAAAATTTCCTTGTATTACTTACTTTGAACTAGATTTTTACTATAGATTGCAAATCCAAGAGACCTGGACAAGGACACCCTCATCATTTATCCCCAGGACCTCGAACAGTGCTGGCACTCATATATAGACTATATAAATAAATGAATGAATGAGTCTTGCATATGGAAAATACTGGARAATGAGGCTCTTCCATTGTGTCCTTTCCATAAGAAAGACAGGGGGAGGGAACAGGAAGAGTTCTACATTTTAAATAAGTCACTAAACTAAATTGCTGACAAAAATCATTTAAGGGGAAATAACTCACTTTACCTCTTTCTTTGTGGTTTGGAAAACAAGGAAAAAAGGTTTCTCYAGCTGGGCACATGCCTGTATTCCCAGGTACTTGGGAGGCTGAGGCAAGAGGATCAAAATTTCTAGGTCAGCCTGGGCAACTCGGTGAGACCCTGTCTGAAAATAAAAATTACAAAAGGCTGGGGGTGTAGCTCAGTGGTTGAGTTCCTCCAGGTCCAATCTCCAGTGTCCCCTCCCTGCAAAAAAAAAAAAATGCTCCTTTTAAGTTTTTAAAAATAATCTAAACTCTCATAATACCTTTGTTGTTCTACATTTTGAAAAGAAGAGTAGTTATGAGGAAATGGTATACATCCCAAATATTTCTCCCACAATTCCATCAACCTGAATTTCCTTCTCCTAGGCTTTGTGTCCATCCTCTGCCTCAACACCATCTCCCATCTTGTTGATTTGAGATTGGGGTTTTCAGGMAAAAGCCCTGCTGTTTCCCTTCAGAAAGCACTAAACATTTCCAGTTTCCTTCTGAGATTCTGTAAAGACAGAAAATGTAGCTGTTATTGTCCTCTCAAAGGCTTCTCTGAAAAGGCACCAAGACGCCCATCTTCAACACCTTGGGTTTCACAGCCCTGTCTCTCTGTTTTCTAAGTGTCACTAGCATACAGAAACATTTATTTAGGCACCTTCTCATGAAGCCCTGTAGGAATTCTGAAGACATTTGAGAGCCTCTGAAAACCAGGCCAAGTTGAAAACAGAAAGTCATATTTACAAGTTGAGCATAYTTGTAAATTGGAGTGAATGAATGCTGAGTCTGGCCCCCTACTCTCAAGCATGCCTGAAGTTGGCCCAGGAAGCAGATTTTGCCTTTTGGTTGGACTCATACTTGCAAGCTCAGGCCTGTGTTTCATTGTGGCATTTGGTACATAGTACACCAACAATTTGTGATGCTCTCTTCACAACAGCTTCCTGCTGTGTGTGGAGGCCTCCTCCAGACCTATCTCCATTTGGTTAACCCAAACTCAGAGATAACTATATGCCAGTACCAACTGAAGACTGGCAGAAACCACACAGTTTTGCTAAAAGCTACAAAATATTTATTTATGTTCTTAAGAGTAGACTGTAACTATCACATACGTACCTTTAGAAATTGGTAAGAGCATGTGGTGGTGAAAAAAGTCATCTACCCTTAGCTGCAAAAGAGAGGGACCAGAATCAGGCTTGTTTCATTGTCCTCATCACAGAAGGCTTTTCTTTTCTAGATTTACCCTTCAGGATATTTGCACATTTTCTCAGTAAGGAATGACAGAACAGCAAAAGGAAATTCTCCATGAGTGATTTTTATTTTTAATTTTTATTTTCATTACCAGGGATTTAACCCAGGGCCACTTAACCACTGAGCCACAACACCAATCCTTTTTATTTTTATTTTATTTTTTTATTTTGAGACAGGCTCTTGCCAAGTCCTTAGGGCCTAGCTATGTTGCTGAGGCTGGCCTTGAACTTGCAAGGCCTCCTGATTTGTTGGGATTACAGTTGTGCATTACTGCCCAGCTCCAGGAGTAATTTTTAAATAACATTTATCAGCATCAAAATTCAGATTCAGGCCGTGTGCGGAGACACATGCCTGTAATTCCAGTGGCTTGGGAGGCTGAGGCAGGAGGATGGCAAGTTCAAAGCCAGCCTCAGCAAAAAGCGAGGCRGTATGCAACCCAGTGAAACCCTGTCTCTAAATAAAATACAAAATAGGGCTGAGGATGTGGCTCAGTGGTCAAGTGCCCCTGAGTTCAAGCCCCTATATGCACTGCCCACCCCCCTCCCCAAAAAATTCAGATTCAGAGGAAGAAGAACTTAGGACTAAAAAAATAATGAAAAGTGGTTGACATCCCTACAGATAACAATAAAAATAGCGAGTGTATAACATCACTAGACTGTCTAACCTACATTAGAGCAGGAACTAAATTTCAAATAGCAGGCAATTTTTGAAAAATGAATGTGTTTTCAAAGAAATAGCAAATATTAAGATTTATTCATTATAGTTCAGTGGCACCTTAAATGAATGCTAGCACAAGTTCCACAGGTATTTGGAGCTAGTAAAATGTATCTTTTCTCATATAATTCTGAACTATTAAAAATAGTTCATTATTCTAAGTTAAGGGACTTAGCTGAGGCTTTACCTCACAGAAATCAGGCATGAGTATCAAGATAGAACACGAAAGCCTAGAAGAAATATTCCAATGGACCACTCTTTGGAAAGAAAGCTTAATTGTTACTTTAAAAAAGGGAAACATATTCCAGGATTATTTGTGTTTGTGAAGAAGGGAATGTGATGATTGAATCAAAAGGGGAAGGAATATAAGCAAGCACTTCGTTGATTCCCAGAGGGAATGCTGTTGGAATGGTGTGGTGAGTTGATTGGATTCAATTCTGGGGTTTCAAGTTTGCAGCTGTTTCTCTTCCCTTGGCTGATTTTAGATAGTGATTTAACAAGTTTTCTTTTTATCCCTGAAAACTCATGTCTGTCTCAATCTTATTTAACCTGATCATCAATTACTGTAGAATAAAGGAGGAAGATGTGGATTCAGAAAGGTAAGGAACTGAGTAGCCAGCCTCACACCCCAAGCCATCAAACCTGGTTCTTAGAATCCACCTTCCCAAGTCTATCTCTTTGTTTAAAGAAAGAAAAACAAGTTGATAATGGGGGTTGGGGAACATTTCTCCATCCTCATTGAAAACTGATGAGCAGTCAGCTGATATACCTTAGGATTCTTGCTGAGAAATTTAAGGACAATTGTAAAGTTTACTGAGGATTGGCCAGTTGTGAAATTTAGCACCCAGTATTTGATACTTAACGAGTATTAACTTGTGAATTATGAGTTTCCATGTATGGAAAGGGAGAATGTATTTATTCCCTTTACTCTGTTACTACACAACAGCCAACAACCTTAATCCACATAGAAGTAAAAGGTGATAAATCTCTTTCTCGACAAAGTTAACATCCCTCTTTCTTTCCTTTCCATACCATTTTGAAATACTTCTTTAGTAGTGTGTGTGTGTGTGTGTGTGTGTGTGTGTGTGTGTTTAAATAGTTTTCCTAAAGGCCTGGTCTTTTGTTAAATGTGTGCCCTTGATTTTTATCTGATACACTTTTCTCAAAAACATGTCATGCCTATTCTATCCCAACACAGTAAAGGAATACACCAAATGTTAGCTGACTGTCTTCCTTCTTCTAATAACAGTGATGGGAAATCCAGCAAAGAATGAGCTGTTTTTGCTAATACAGCTCTTTAAGTCTCAGACAGAGAGCTAAACTGTCAGTTAATTACCCCCTGGGTCTCAGGCTTTCACTGGGGCCTTCTAAAATACACAAAACCAAAGTGAAGGCAGGACACCATTAGCACCACATAATTCAAGCAAACAATCAATGTGTTTACTCTGCCTGGCTACTGACCACCTGCCTTCCATCCCACCAGGCAGGTCTCTCTATATAGGCTGTCCTGTTCACAGTCCTGTAGAGTGAGCCTCTTTGGGCTTCACCATCTGTGAACCGAAAGGAATCTTGGGCTCTGATAGCATGCATCTGCTTTTACTTCAATTGCTTGTGCTCCTGCCTCTGGGGAAGGCTGGCTGGCGCCTGGATGACCGTGGAAGTCACAGTTCTCTTTCCCTCCTGCTCCTAGAAAGGAGCCGCCGAGAACTCTCCACCAGCAACCAAGAGGAAGCTGAGGACAAGCCGGATCTGTTTGTTGCAGTGCCACACCTGATAGGCACCAGCCTGGCAGTGGAAGACCAGAGGCAGAAAGAGAAGATGCTGTCCATGTTTGGCAGGATCTGGAAGAAGTCTGAGAGAGAACTGTACCCTCTTGGGGACTTAGAAAATGAGTACTCCCCACCTGGGACCCAGGCCCTCCCTCAGCCAATGGAAAGGAAGAAAATAGAGAAGTCTCCTCTTCGAGAAGAAGCCAAGAAATTCTGGCACCACTTCATGTTCAGAAAAGGTCCAGCCTCTCAAGGGGTCATCTTGCCCATCAAAAGCCATGAAGTACATTGGGAGACCTGTAGGACAGTGCCCTTCAGCCAGGTATGTGTCCTGGGGGTAGAGTAGATTGGGGTTTGCAAGATGGGAAACAGCTGAGACAGGGAGAAAGGAGGGGAAGCAGCTGTGGGGAATCAGTCTTGCTTAACTTCAAACTTGGTCCTAGATGGTCACCACAGGTTTTGGCAAAGTATGATCCTATTCCCTACATCTCCTTCTCATCTCTCTGTTATTTCTTGGCATGCCAGAAAATGCAATAAGAATGGTAATAATGGTACTGTCAATATGATAATCAAAGGACACAGAGCTCTGTTTTATTTACTTATTTTTAGACTGGGGGTGTCCTATCCAGAGAAGTAAGTCTGCCCTCAGTTAGGAAACTGGGAATATAGAGCAATCACAGGGATGTGGGTGAACAGGTCAACTCCTTCTGTAGATAAGGTGGGACGTGGGACATACTGAATTCTTCCCCAAACAAATTTCACATTCATTGTGACAGTCTTAATCTATTTCACACCTAACCATAGGTTTATGAAAGTTTCTTTAATAGTTGTCAAAGCTATCCAACTTTTAAAAAGCTATCCACAACTTCAAACTATATTGAGATTCTTGGGACAAATGTTTGCTGTGTTATTTCTAGTATTGTGATAGAAAATGATTTAGTTTAACTTATTTTTACATAAGCTCTCAAAAAATAATCTAGATGTGATATGACACCCCCTACCCCACCCAATCTCCAGATTTATGTTGTATTGGCTGACATATACTTACCATGATCAATTCCAATTCTATTAAGACAAAATGCATCAGATACGTAAACATGAAGATGTTGAACCAAAAGCAATGCAGGGAAGAGTAAAATTTCACAGTCCAGTAACTCTACCCAATTAAGCAGGCAGTGTTATAAGACAATTGACTGTGTGAGGCAGTTAAGTATTCTGCCTGCAAAGGCAAGGATATGCAGCACTGACAAGTCAATTATCAAATAATAATAACTGCTTTGTGGCCCATGTGCAATTAGAAAATTACTTCTAAGAATTGAGCCATCAAATTTCCTTTGAAATTCTTATTTTGAATTATATTGCTAATTAAATTATAATTAAGATGTTTGATTCTTGTATATTTTGGAAGGCACATAAAACTAGGTGTATGAGGTTACGAGAGAGGTAAAGATGATGTAACAGGTGCATACATTGCAACTTTGCCGTGCAACTTTGTAGATTTGAATGCACCACAGTTCCTGCAAAATAGGACAGAATTAAACTTGTGATGTTCTGGTCTATTTTATGATCAATTGAACAAAATATGTATAGAGAGCCTACTATGGGAAATGTACTGTGAGGAATAAAATGGTAACACAGAGTACTTAAATAAGAAGTTTGTCATTAGAATTTTTCCAATTGGTCACATTCAACTAGACAAAATGTCTTAGTCTGACATTTATAGTACCAACTATTTTCATATTAAGTTGAGGATACCAAAAGGCTAATAATTTACTCAATACATTTAGTTAAGTTGGCTTTATGCCCTAATAGATACCCTCACTTGGACATTACAAAATGTATCCAAAATGGAAAAGCTATGGAAATTTTAGTCTGTTATCCTGATTTACACTCTCTAGCTTCTTTGCATCATGTACAATAGGGAAATGACTCAAGATAACATAATGGAAATGTGTTTGTCTTTTAGACCATCACCCATGAAGACTGTGAAAAAGTCGTTGTTCAGAATAACCTTTGCTTTGGGAAGTGCGGGTCTGTTCATTTTCCTGGAGTGACGCCGCACCCCCATACCTTCTGCTCCCACTGCTCACCTGCTAAGTTCACCACAGTGCACTTGCAGCTGAACTGCACTGGCCTTGCTCCCGTGATCAAGGTAGTGATGCAGGTGGAGGAGTGCCAGTGTGCRGTGACGACAGAGCATGGAGACGGACACCCCCTTCAGGCTGGCTCCCAGGATTCATTTATCCCAGAGGTTTCAACTTAAAAACTTCTCCCACTATTACCTTTGAAAAGCAAAACCACCACAACAAGGCAATGGTTATTCAGTCTGGAAATGATAAGTGGGTACATAATGCTTAAAGGGAAAAATGGTTTTAAAAGTAGTTACAAGATGGCAATATTTAGAAGAAATAGTATTTTTCTAGTTTTTGATAGATGTTTGGAATCTAGTGATGGCTCTACCACTAACTGGTTGTAGAATGTTAAGGAGCTGTAAAAATTTGCATCATCTTAAGCTTTTCATCTACAAATGAGAGACTATCCCAGTTGATTGCCAAAGTCCTTTCCACTACTGGTACATGATTGATTTTCTCCAAAATTTTAAAAGCCTTCTATCTAAGGAAAAGAAATAAACTACATCATAAAAATGGGCTTCTTCAATAGCTTGTCAAATCACCAGCAGGAAAAAACAAACAAAAAAAGTTGGGATATTTTTAGAAGGGATTTCTCATGCTTGTAGCTGCATTTGTGATTCAGGGAATGTTTTGCCTTCTTCTGTCAGATGATTCTATTCATAGATGTTTGAAGTAACTTGCTTGGTTTCTCTTCCCCTCCCATCTTCCTCCTCCTTTTTAAAATTGTTTTTTTTTTTTGGGGGGGGGTGGTACTGGGGATTGAACCCAGGTGTGCTCTACCACTGAGCTACAAACCCAGCCTTTTATTTTTTATTTTAATACAGGGTCTTGCTAAGTTACTGAGGGCCTCAAACTTGTGATCTTCCTGCCTCAGACTCCCACGTAGCTGGGATCACAGGCATGCACTTGGCCTCCTTGTATAAAGTTCTTAATGTCTGGTGTCTGTCTTTGAAGAAGTAACATTGATGCTACTTTTAGCAGTTTACATAGGGAAGAGGAACAATCTTTGGTAGCCAAATAGCTACCTATATTATGAGAAAGAAAAACTATATGATGAGAACCATGATTAAAGCTCACTCCAGAAACACTAATGAAAGTAAACAAGAAATTCAGCAGAGGTCACATTAAATAAATTGTAAATAAATAATTTAAAATTGAAATAATTTATGGTGAAATATCCACATGGCTTTTGGGTTAGGTAATAAGAAAGGTTTCTGAGTTTGGATCACTGTTTTTGAGTATTGTATAAAACTTTGTATGATAAATTCTACTCAGCAAAGGCCACAATGAAAAGGTCTGACAATATTCTGAATGTTTTGATGTATTGAATTTTAGTGTATGAAGCATTCTGGGAAATGTTGTGGCATGTAAATATCTTATATTTGGCCCTTATTTGTTTTGCCTGTCTCATCATTTAAAGGTACCACTGGGACATGACCCAGATAGAAGTGTTTCTGAATGTCTTTGTGGGGTTATGACACTGACCCATGGGTTTCTTCTGACTTTGTAAGCAGCCTGTGGTTTAAGCCTTTGAACCCCTGTCATTTAGCAATTGTCTTTCCTGCCTGTATTTATTTGTATGCATACATTGTGCCGAATTGACTTTTCCCAACCAGATTATTTTTTATAATTATTCAAAAATTCATTTAAAAAATTGCTTGATTTGGATTCCTTTACTTCAGTACATACACATGCGAGCTTGTGCCTACACACACACACACACACACACACACACACACACATGAACATATACATACAAACAAATGTTTCATGGAATAATAACTAATTATTTTTTGAAAAGAAATCAATTTAAATTTTAATTCTATTCCTCTTTAATCACACTATCTAACATGGTGTTTCAAAGAAGCAAATGCATTTATATTTAGTGTGTATTATGAAACACATCAATGTAATAGAATATGAGCTACATAGATACACATGTGACATTTACAACAGAATATATTATACCCTTTGGTGGTCAAAAACAATCTAATTGGCCAATATGTGGTCATAAGGATAAAATTGTTCAGCATTAGTGTTATCCCAGCTGGTCARTATATTTTGATGCCAAAAGCTATTGAGCAGCTGTCTAGTTTGCAACTGCCTTACTCTGATTATGTAAACCTATCTCCCCCAATTGGAATCTCCTTTTCCTCACATCTTTGCATATATCCCTTTTATCTGTACTTGCAAATAGACTCTAAAGCCTAGGCTCCAAACAGCTCTCTCTTTCATTCAAACTCTGTTCTGCCCTTTGCTCACATGTAAATTCCAGATGGGAAAGCTGATAGCTTCATTGGAGCTAACATTAATGGAGTGATAGCATGAACCTCATGAAATGGCCTATTTACAACCAGTTTAACATGTAAAAAGGGCAGTTTTTAATGTTTCATCATAATATGTGGGAGTGTAAGAAACTAGGAGGAAATACACAAATATCAGACATCTATTAATGTCCAGATAATGTGTGATGGCTTTTAAAGAAAGTACAAAATCTAACCCTTGCAAAAACCATGTGATGTAGGTAATCACCCCATTATATAAGGGAGAAAAAGAAGCCTTTAAAAAGTTTGAAAACTTGCCTAAAATCACTTAGAATATGCTTTCTTTGTATTAAAATATTTGCTCATTGGTCCTCCATCAATTTAGATTGAGGTCACCTATCCAGAGGCCTCAGAGAGAATTTCTTACCTTTTACCTACCTCTCACATCTGAAGCATATTGGTGTCATCTCTTAAATAGAAATTATCCCTAGGTTTTCAGCTAAACATTGCCCTGGCTTGCTTGGTCCCCAAGGCAAGCCCCTTCATAAATCCTGGCCTCATTTTCCTCTCATAAAAAAAGGTTGATAATAATTACCTCAATATTATTATGATGATCAACTGTAGGTAACAGCACTTCAGAGAAACTTTAGATCCTATAAAACCACAAGGTATTAATTCACTTTTCTCCTTTCAGACTTTCCTCTTTTTGTTATTTTTTTAAAATTTGTTTTGAGAAATTTTAGACATAAAAGCATAGAAAAGGATCTATAACAAATACAAAACTCTCATGGCCAGAATAGATGATTATCATTTTGCCATCTTCTGCATTTAGTCATTTTWAAAAAAGAATTAAACCAATTGGGATATAAAGAAATTTTCCCTCCGTGGGATGCTGAGTCCCATCCCTCAAACTCCCACCCACCCTACATTCCACCCCCTGAAGATTTTTGTTTACACTTCCAATTCCTAGTTATATTTTTGCATTTCTATTCACATCCATAATCAGTACACGGTATTATTTTTATATGTKTGAGGATGTATTTGTTAGTGTGCAACATACAGCTCTGGGAGGCTACGAATACAACAATGGTACTGGTCAGATAGGATCCCTGCTACTATGGAGCCTCCATCCCAGCAAGGTGAGACATAGTTCAAAAATTAATCAATTTATCCACCGAGCAACTGAAAAGGAAAAATATTAGATGGCTATAAGTGGTATGCAAAGGAGTAAAACAGGAAAATATGCTAGAGATTGATAATTTTAGATTGAGTGGTGACATTAAAGCTGTGCAATTTTAATTATCTGCATGAATATTCTGCAGAAGGGTTTTTAGGTTTTTTTCCTCCAGACATGATGCTGACTTGTTCTTACAACAGTTTTTTAGAGGTTTTTTCCCTATACATTTTATTTGTATTCTAGAAACTTGGAATTAAGCATTCCCTTCAGTGAAGATTGAACCTAGCTTTGATAAAATTATTTTCTCAGCATATGTATTTTGGGGGGCGTGTAAAGACACAGGTTTGTTTCTTGCACACAGGATGTATTCATCACAGGTTGGCTCTATCTTGGCACTATATTACTCCAGGACCCATACTCTGGACTGGAGCACAATGGTCCATTCCACACTCAGGAATAATAATGGTCTTCTTGTCTGAAACAAAGAGAGTGAGAACATGGTGAATGGTTTATTAAAGATTTTCTGAAATACACCACAAAGGACTTTCATCATATTTAATTGTCCAAAACAAATCATATGGCAAGCCTGATTTCAATGGGACTTGGAATTATAATCCTCTACCAAGGTAGGCTACATAATTTCCTTAACCTGTCAACTGAATTTCTAATTCAGATGTCAATTATTCTCTGATTTGTTTTTTTACAGAGAATTTATTCTATGTAAGACATTGTGCTAAGAACCTTAGGATATTCAAAGATAAATAAGATGTCACCCCAAGGCTGATAATGTAGTAGCAGAGATAATATATGCAAATTATAAGGCAAAAATAACAGTAGCAATAATAAGAGCTACCAATTATTGAGGCCTTACTGTGTGTTTGTATGCTTCTGATCCCTTATCTCCAAGGAGGGGACATTTTAACTCTCTTTCTCCAAGGACATCGAAATTTAGAGGAGTTCATTCATTCAGTACAAAATATTTATGCCTGTCTATGATAAGCCAGCCACTGTGCAAGGTGCAGAGAATATAAATGGTTACAAGATGATCTGACCTTAGAAGCCTACCATCCAGGAACAAGTAACTGCATGTTTTTGCTTTCCATTTGTTTTTCTGTTTAGCTTAGAATGATGACCTCACTAGCACATCCCTGTTCTCAAACTCAAACCCCACTTTCCCAATAAAATCTTTCTTAATCCCAGACAAAGTCAGGTACATCTCTTACACGAACGATTTCATGGCACTATTTACCTTTACTTCATATCTCTCATCTCAATTCAGAATTATACCTTTATTTGCATCATTATTAATCAAACTATAAGCTTCCTGAGAACAGGATTCATATTGGGATTTTTAATCATTGTAATCAATGCCTAGGAAAAGTACWCAATATTTTTTCGTTTGTATGTAAGAAACAAAATCAATAGATATCATATACTTAACATATATCATGTGTCTATAAGACAACTGTACCAAGATTATATTATTTAATTATTTATATTACTTAATTTAATCCTCATGTAATGTATGAAGTAGGGAGTATAGAACATTTTATTGCTGATGATGCTAAGGTTCAGACAAATAAACTTTTCAAAGTATCACTTCTAGGGAGTGGCAGAAGCTGAATGACTCCTAAGCTCAATTTCTTTCCTACTATGTCATACTGATTCAAGATAGAAAAAGATGTATATT